TATAATTAATTTTCACACATCTCCAGGATTTTTTGTATTCAATCTTGTTTCTATTTTTTACTGCTACAGGTTGAAACCACTTGGCACTCTAAAGGTTCGAGATACTTGCATCAGATATCTTGCATACTCGTGTAGGTCTATATGTGAACAAAGGATCCAGAAGCTTCTCAAGTGAGTTGATAGGACCCCCTTTAGGCGTGCTCTGGCGAAATAAATAATAATAACCGACAGCAGCCAAGTTTCATAAAAGACGCCATGGTTGATCCTAAAGCTTTCTGGAATACATAATCTTCAATCTGTTTGGTTCAAATAAAATCTGGCAAACTCGAAAGCTCACTTCACTTGATGAATTATCTTGATATCCGTACTTGTATTTTTAGGTCATATTTTTGTTCTCTTTTTTTTTCGTATTATTTATGTTCGAGGGATATGAAGTTGTTTGTGTAGATTTATTATTGTTGAGAAAGCACAATTAAATGAAGAATTCGTCTTTCCCCTTAAATTTGTATTGTTAGTTTATGTGTTAAATAATATTTATTCTTTCGGTAGAATATTTATTCTTTCGAGTTTATTGATTGTAGCTATTTTAAGTAATTAAAGTGATTTTTGGACTAAGATTGCTAGGGTAAATAATTTATTTAAGTATTCTACCGAAAATTGTTTTAATTATGATAAATTGATCCGATGCTGTAAAATGCTGATTTTTGGTTGAAATGCTTATTTTGCAATGTATTTCATGCTGTTAAAATATCAGAATTTTTAAAGTCCATGGTTTAGTTCTGATGAAAATTCGAAAGCAGCAGATTTTTGTTAGAATTTTTAAATTCGCATGTTAAATGTTCAGGGTTGAAATTTTTTTATGTTGATATGCATATGTTGAGGTATGCTGTGTAAAAATTTCAGAGGTTGAATCGTTCATTATGTCTGGTGTTTAATTTGTGCTCGTTTTTGCTGTTAACTTGTTTGAATTTTATAAAATCGTGTATTTTGAGTTTGAGGCTGAAACTTTGTGGTTTTACTAAGTTTTGGGAGGTAAAGTTTTGGTTAAAATTTCAGAGCCTAACTCATTCGGTAACCTGACCAACCTAATTATGTGAATTACCGGCTTTTATTTCGAAAGTGTAGTTTTTGTGTTAAAAGCTATAAACCGGTTCACTCGTTGTTTGAGACTTATTTGGAAGATCTCTTATATGACATTGCTTGAACTTTCATGTTTGGTTTGTTGAGTCTAAGTCTAAGTGTTCCAACGTCCACAGGACTTCACGAACAACTTGGTCAAATCAAGTTCGAATAAGTATGATTGTGTTTCCCTTTTTAGGTCAAGATAGATGTTGATTGTAGCATCTTGACTTAATGTAGGTGCTTGACGAGGCGAGCTCACCGCCTATACGTGCTTCTGTGTTATCTCATTCTCTCGACCAGGTGGGTTTTATTAAAAATTGTCTATGCAATAAATTGTGTCTTACTTTTGTATGATCAATGTGTGCCTACGAATCATGTAGCCTTCGATGTGAGCTGTACCGGCCGTCGAACGGTTGTCCCCATATTTATGAAAATAAACCCAAGGGGTTACTCCTACTGACTGGGCATCGATAGAAGCCCGAGGGGCATTCGGTGTATAAGACCGGGGGGGCATTGATGTAGAGCCCATGGGGCATTCGAAGCATGACCCGAGTGAGGGCCTTCGATACATCTACCGGCAGTAGCCTATTGGTATAGATGTGCACATGAGTCTGAACATTGTGAATTTATGTTGAAAACTTGGGATACTTAATTGATTCTTATACATGATGTGATCATACTATTTCTCTTACTGTTTATGTTATGAAAATGTTTATTGCATAGTGGTGAGCAGTACGATTTCCAACTGTGCTCATCCCTACCTGAAATTAACGTTTCAGGTTAAGCAAGGCGGAGTAGAGCGAGTGGTAGTCGGTCTATGAGACCGGTTATTAATTGATTTTGCTTCCGCTATACTTATGATTATTTATAATTTATGAATTTTTGAACTTTGATAATTTATGAAATATTGAGATACTATTGGGGGATGCCCCGTTGACATTGTTATGTCTTGCGACTTGAGTTTTGTTTGGGGAACCCGATTTGGGCAAATTGATGATTTATGGATTTATGAAACCCGTTTTGAGAGTTAGATGATTTATGTTATGAAATTGATGTTATGTCGTTGAAGTAATTTGAAATATATGAGTAACGCCACAAATGTTTGAAATAAATTTTGAAAAATTTATGCTGATTTTTCTGAAAGTCCGAAATTTCTTTAAAATCAAAATGGCGCGTTACACATTAAAACTAAAATAAATCATTCATAAATGAATCATAAATTAAAAAAAAAAAAAAACAATGTAATTGAGAAATGCTCTGGATTTCCCAGGCGGTTCCAAAAGCTGTTTCTTTTGTTAGAAATGAAATGAAAAGGTAGAACTCCACACTTAGCACAACTCTATTTTAGTCAGCCTAATTCCCATGCATGACTCCCAAGAAGGGAAGACCTCTTCATGTACCACAACCCTTATTAGTAAGCCAAATTCCCTATGACTCCTAAGAAGGGAAGACAATAAAACTCAACCGTAATCCGTAAGGCAGTAGTAAGTCCATCAATGATAAAAATAAATCACAAATCAACTGAATACACGATGCAAGTTACCATATTTACAAGAAATGTATATATGAATTAGATTTATGATAAAAATGAAAATTTTAGGTGACCAACATATTTTCTCATTTTTAAAAATTAGACTTATGATTGGATACAATTAACCGCGCGTCGCAACGCGGCAAAATTAATATTTATATTTTTCCTCAACTAACCTCTACTAACTAGTAGTAGTGGCGAGCAAGTGTCGATCCCACGATGAGTGTGAATCAAATCGTGAATTTTCTCGTATTAATTGAAATTATGAAATGAATAAAAGAGGGGGGTTGATTTAATAACTAAGATCCTAACTAAATAAATAAAATCTAAACAATGAAAATAAAAATAAAAATAATAAATGAAGAGAACTTTCTAGTTCACGGTTCCGTCTACACCCTCGACTGACTCGTCTAATCAACTTTGGAATCAAATCTCGCTATCTTATGAAATTACTAGCCCTAGGCAACGACACGGTCAGTTACCCGAATTTTTCCTTAATTTTAATTTAACCGCGAGACGCTCTACGATTAAACCTGACTTCTTGTACAGTCCGGAAAAACGTTTTCAAGATTTAATACAATCAGCCGCTTTACGATTTAGAAAAATAGGCTAGACTAATTAGTGAACTCAACCGCGTTCGTTCACTTAATTAGGCCGTGTTATCCCCGGTAGTTACCATCTTCCGGTTACCTCTTATGAATTAAACACAACAACAATTACGGATTGCAGGCCTAATTCAGATGTAGATATGAAAAGCCTAATCTAGGTGATCAATCTAAACAAGACTAACACATCATGGTGAATTATTCAAAATAACACAAGCGATTCTAAAAAGACAACTCAATAATCAACCATGAAAATCAATCAAACATCATCAAGTCGTAGGGTTCGACTTCCCCGGAACTAGAAATAAAACTAGCCTAACATAATAAATAAAGACAAAAGAAAGAGAATAGAATTATCCTCTTTCGTGTGCGGGTGCGGTTTCCCTCCGCAATTCGTCGGATTCCTCGTGTGAGTGCTGCGTTCTTTTTTCTCTTCCTGCGTGATGTCTGGCGGCTCGCTACTCTGTACGTAAAAATAAATAATTGGCTGCGTGAGGGCTTTTTTTATGCGTGAGTTCTCTGTTTTTTTTCTCTGTGTAAATAATTTCCTGACTAAATAATTCCTATGTCTCCAATTAATCTGAGTGCCCCGCTTCAATTAACTTTCCTCCGCCGAAATAATTCCACCCCTCCCATGAGTTTGGGCTGCGTGTCCTCTCACCACAATTAATTCCTTTTTGACTTAGTCCTTCCTGGCCCACTTTAGTTTTAATATTTGCAGCCCAATTATATTTATTCCTCTCAGCCCTCTTACATGAATTGCATGACTTGGTATATGCATGGGCTTATATATGCATGGGCTTCATGGGCTTTGTTGGATGTCTGAGTACAGGGTCTGTTGGGGTCAGTACGGGACACCCCCATATTCTGCCGGTTGGAACTTCCGTTTAATATCTCGCCGTCCATAAAAGTAGCCCAATAGTCTGAAAATAATGCACAAAAATATCATAGCACTCAAATCCATCTAATAAATAAATAAGCCGAAAAACATATAAGTGCGATAAAAATTAAGCATATAAAAATACGCTAATAAATATATAAAATACACACTTTTTCCGACCAATCAAATCTCCCCAAACTTAAACCGTTGCTTGTCCCCAAGCAACTTAGAACTATAAGCACGTAGATGGACNNGNNNNC